CAGGCGCAGGAGATGGGTTCCTTCTGCCTGAGGCAGGGCCAGGCTGTGGAGGCCATCCCTGCACTGTCCCTACAGTGTCCCTGTCTGATGCTGGCCTCCTCTGTCACTGTGCAGGGGCCCAGGTCTGGTGGATCTGTTCCCTCCCCTGGTGACCCACATCTGAGGACAGGCAAAGAAAGGATCCCAGAGCCCAGGCGTAAAGCAGAAACAAACAGATGGGATGCTGGGCAGAGAACCCAACAGCTGAGGAGGGACAGAGCAGGACAATGGCGGCCAAGAGGGAAGCTCAAATGCAGATGATGGGCATCTACGTCCAGCAACTGTGTCCTGGTGTGCTGATCTGTGTGCTTCCAGAGCCCAGCTCTGCCCAGGTTGGGGGTCCATTTATGTGTTTCTGTTTCAAAGCCAGCACCCACCTGGTCTTCCTGTGTTAAACAGATAACCTCCTTGTGGTTGAAGGCACTCAGTCCGGAGCGCTTTGTCCCTTTCTTTTTTTTTTTTCTTTTCTCAGTCGTGTTCGCTGTTGTGGCAATGGCTGCTGAGACAGAAAAGAAGCGCTGTGTCTTTAAACGAGGAGGAGCTGAACAGCGCAGCTCAGGCAGTAAAAAGGCTAATGCACTGTGGAAGAGAAGGAGTTTAATCTAATTTAGTTGGAGGGTGTCTGTCTGCGGTGTTGTTTTTTGGAGTGTGGGAATAGAGGAGAGAAGCTGCCCCCTTGAATGGTCCCTTCTGCGCCAGAAGCAGTAGGGAGCCCGTGGACGCCAGCGATCCAAGGCCGGGCCTTGAAAGAGGATTAAACAAATGCTCTGATTTGCAATTCACACTGATGCACCCCGTGGAACCTTTGGTAATATTTCAATCCACATTTCAAGGGAAGTGGCCTTAAAATAGCAGCCTAAATTGTTCTGCAGCAGCCTGGGCGGCTCTGCTCATCCATTTTACCATGCGATGCGGGGGCTTGTTTGTTTCTTACTCTCCTCCCCAAAAACATCTTACCAGGAGCGTTTTTTTTAGGTGTGATTAAAACTTGTGCCTGTTGAATCCAATGTGGCCTGCATGGCCTTTCTGGTGGATTTCCGCCAAGTTCCACTTCCATGCAGCACAACCCGAGGAGGTGGGGGAGGGAGCAGCATTTGAATTTTCCACCCATGTTTCCTGATAAGTTTCTGAAAAACTTAACATGCGGTCAGGGAAGATGCCCGCTCCCCTCAGGGCCCTGTGTGCCAGGCGATCGTTAGCCCACACATTACTGCCCTTCTCTTTTAAGGCACAGGGGCAAAGGTACCTGCCAAAAGACAACACAACTTTGAGGGCACGAGACAAACCAATGGCCACGTCAGAATGTGCCCAGAGGCCTTTTAAGCAGGGGCTGCTGGGAAAAGCACCTTCTCCATTTTCTTTCTTTTTATAACCTCTACTCAAACCACGCGAGTTCACTCCTGCAATTAGCTTGTACCATGCTAAGCTCATGGTTTAATTCCTCTTTATTGCTGAATGTCCCAGTACTTTTTATCTTAAAGAGATTATTGGGGTTTTCTCTAATCCCATTTTAGAAAACCTCAGGCAGGGCTTATAATTTCCATTGACTATTACAGAGTGAGAAAAGATACAACTTTGATTGTTGGGAATATCCATGTCCAAGTACTTTATACTTTTGACTTTGCTAGTTTAAACAGAATGAATCTGGGCCTCTCTTCCACTTCCAAAAACATGTCGCTCTTGTTCAAGATACTGCCTGAAATATTCTCTTTCAAAAGTCTCACACTTTCCCTGGTGCACATTTGCAAAAACTTAAAAGTAGATAATGCTTGTGAGTAGCTTTCTGATATATATATATATATATATATATATATATATATATTTTTTTTTTTAAAGAGGATTGGAGCAAAAGATATTCCTTGTCCCTGCACATTATTTGAAATCGTGTTTAATTATAAAGTTTCATTAAAAACCTTTGCTCAAAATTTTAGAGGCCTAATAAGATTTCCATTAATTTAAACATATCACTATTCCCACGACAGCCCCCAATGCTTTCTTTCCCCTCTTTCATCCATGGTTAAATATGTAAATAAAATGTCTAAAGTCATTCTTCAAAGAAGACAAAAGAAAAAAGAGCTGAGGGGAAAGACAGCCATAAAATTCCTCCCAATTCTCCATAACAGTTGCCAGAGGGGGGCCGGTAGCAGCCAGGGCTGAGCAGCAGGGGACCCGGCTGCTCCGCAGAGTCACACATCTCAAATCCCACACACAGGAAAAAAAATAAAATAAAATATCTTTTCAGCTGGAGCCATCAAAAGGCCCTTTTCATTTATTAGTTACAGAGTTATCTCCCAGTTGCTGATTTCTCAGAGTCCCCATTTTTCGATAATAATGTCTATTTTGTTGGTTTCCATCTCTGCTGGGCAGAACCAAGAGCTTCTACAGACATTTTTTATAAAACAGAAGAGAAGAAAGCAATCCGAGTGGCTAAAATAATGGGTCTGAACATGGTGGGATAAAAATAGCACATAAAGGATCAATTAGGAGGCACTCTGCACAAATGGCTGCACCGGGCTCACAGGACTTGGCTCTTCTCCTCCAACCGGGGCAGGAAGAACCTTTGCAAGGAAAATCCTAGAAAAGCCAAGTGTTGTCCAATGAATCTTTTCTAACTTAAAAGTGCTGAAACTAGCTCACTACTAAATAAAGAAGCAAACTATCGTCATAAAATGGCAGTCTTTGGAACACATGCGCTCTTTCGGGGGAGCCCACACAGTGGGACGAGGTAGTTGCCAGGCACTGGCTTCTACCTTCTCGGCCACTGCCCCCTCACCCCAGTACCCCAGCACCTCCTTGAGATCAGGGCATGGGGTCAAGGACTCGGCGATGGGGCATGAACACCTGCCTGTCATTCTGGGACCCTGGGCAAGCCCCAGCCCCGCACGTCTGACGAATGAATGAGAGCGCCCAAGTTTCCTGCATACGCACAAGTGCACGCCTTGTTTTAATTAGGAGCCAATCCTCTCGGAGAAGTGTCCGGGTCCTGCCACTGCTGACAGGCTGGGCAGGCAGGAGGGGTGCCTGGCGGCCCCTGCGCCCTCCCGGGCGCTTCCTGGAGACAGCGGGCCGAATCGCAACGACCCCCGCGGGGTCCGCCCACCCAGCTCCTCCCACGCTGCGAAGAGCTGCAGGATCAGCCGCGGGCACGGGTTCCCAGCCGCGATTGCGCACACCCCAGACTGCCCGAGTGAGCCTGGGGTGCGCGGGAGGGACAGAAGGCGGAACGCGCCTCCGCCGCGTCCTCCAGCTGCCGCTCTCCCGGTGGCGCTGGACTGAATCCTGGTTGGGGAGGGGTTTCGGAAGCACTTCAAAGACTGGACCTCGAGGGTTAGGGGAGAGAGCCGGCCACGCCCCGGGAGATGTCTATCCAAGGGTTAGTGCAGAATGAGAAGCATCTCGCGTACTCTTGGGCACTGTAGGGCTTGGGGTGGGTGCCCATCTCTCACGTCCTATGCGGGGGAACAGGGCCCTTGGGTCCGGAACGACCTTAGCACAAACTGGCCCAAACCAGAGGGCAGGAAGGCAGAAGCGGAAGGAGGGGACCACGCTTCTCCTCTCTCTGGAGAGCCAGCCCTGCGTCTCGGCCTTTGGCTCTAAACGCCGGGTCCCGGCCGGAACCGGCCCGGCACAGCTCACCGGCCAGTCGCTTGACGTTTCTTGAGGCCAGCGAACCACTCACCAAATAATATAAATACCGAGGAGCGAATGACTTCCTATAATAAATAAACTCAGCGAGCCCTGCTCGGATCGAGGCCCCCAACTCTGCAGCCCAGGCGGGCGGGTCACTGTGAGTCAAGTCCCACTGACCTGGCTGCGGGGTGAAAGGCCTGGAAGCCTCCCCTCCCGCCTTCTTTGAGGAGACCTCGGATAAGCGGCCCTAAAATCTGGATTCCCAGGTCCCCTCCCCCGCCCCTTCCCTCGCGTCTTAGAAATTTCAAAGCAAACCCCTCCCCGGAGCCGAAGCCCCGCGCCCCAGGCTGGCAACCCCCGGCCTCGTGAAGATGCGGGCAGGTTTACAAGCCAAGGGGCCGTTTTATGGCCAAAGCCATAAAACGCAAATCCCACCTCTCTTTGAAAGCTCCCTCGGCCTGGGACCCACCATAAAAGTAGGGGAAGATGCACCCCTGGCCCCCTGCCGCGGACCACCCCCGCCCCGGCTCCCGCCAGTCCCCGAACTTCCCGTAACCTCGACAGTCCTTGGGGTGCGGGGGACAATCCCGAAGACCCATCCCCCCGCCCCCAGGAAAGGGGACACAGGCGGAGAACGCCGCGGGAGGCAAAGTTGGAAGCCAGGCGGAGAGAGGGCGGAGAGCGGGCGGGACCTCCGGGCAGGGCTGCAGCGCTCAGGGCCCCGCGCGCCTGGCGGGGTGCGCCAGGCGGGCGCGGCGGCTGGGGGCTTGGCCCCCGCGGGGCCCGGGCGGGCGGCGGGGCGGCGCGCGGAGGCTGCCCGGGGCGCTCGGCTTTCTCATGCAAAGCAGTGGAGGGGCGGGGCGGCGGCCTGGGGGCGGGGCCTGTCACCGCTCGGCTTTTTTCCCCTTTGCCTTTTTGCCAGTCTTCTCATCCCGGGACACAAACCTCACAACAGCTGCTAGCTGGGCCCGGCGAGGCCGGCGCAGGGAGGGAGGAGCCGCCGGGCCGCAGGGCGCCGCGAGCTGGCCGGGCCTCTGTGCGCCCGCGCCGCCCGCCCTCTCCGGACGCGCGGGCCCGGCGCGCCAAGAAGAGGCCAAAGTTTGCCGCGGCAGTGAGTTGAAGCCCGCGCGGGGCGGCGGCGCTGAGAGCTCCAGCGGCTTCGCTCGCTTCCCGGTATTGTTTGCAAACTTTGCTCCCCTCCCCCGCCGACCCGGCTCGGCGGAGGCCAGGGGCAGAGAGCAGGGCCGGGGGCGCTGTGCGCAGCGCTCGGGCAGGCTGGGCGGGCATGGGCGGGAGCCCGAGCAGGGGCGCGGAGCCCAGGCTAGCAGCCCGTGCCCCGGAGCGGCGGCTCTGAGGGGCGCGGACCTCCCTGCGAGGGCACCTCGGACGTCACCATGCAGCGCCCGGGTCCCTGCCTGTGGCTGGTGCTGCAGGTGATGGGTTCGTGCGCCGCCATCAGCTCCATGGACATGGAGCGACCTGGTGACGGCAAGTGCCAGCCTATAGAGATCCCGATGTGCAAGGACATTGGCTACAACATGACCCGCATGCCCAACCTGATGGGCCATGAAAACCAGCGCGAGGCCGCCATCCAGCTGCACGAGTTTGCGCCGCTGGTGGAGTACGGCTGCCATGGCCACCTCCGCTTCTTCCTGTGCTCGCTGTACGCTCCGATGTGCACCGAGCAGGTCTCCACGCCCATCCCTGCCTGCCGGGTCATGTGCGAGCAGGCCCGGCTCAAGTGCTCGCCCATCATGGAGCAGTTCAACTTCAAGTGGCCCGACTCCCTGGACTGCAGTAAGCTCCCCAACAAGAATGACCCCAACTACCTGTGCATGGAGGCGCCCAACAACGGCTCAGAGGAGCCCAGCCGGGGCTCAGGCATGTTCCCGCCGCTCTTCAGGCCACAGCGGCCCCACAGCGCGCAGGAGCACCACCTGAAAGACGGGAGCTCTGGGCGCGCCGGCTGCGACAACCCCGGCAAGTTCCATCACGTGGAGAAGAGCGCGTCGTGCGCGCCGCTCTGCACGCCAGGCGTGGACGTGTACTGGAGCCGCGCCGACAAGCGCTTCGCGGTGGTCTGGCTGGCCGTCTGGTCCGTGCTGTGCTTCTTCTCCAGTGCCTTCACCGTGCTCACCTTCCTCATCGACCCGGCCCGCTTCCGGTACCCCGAGCGCCCCATCATCTTCCTCTCCATGTGCTACTGCGTCTACTCCGTGGGCTACATCATCCGCCTCTTTGCAGGCGCGGAGAGCATCGCCTGCGACCGGGACAGCGGTCAGCTCTACGTGATTCAGGAGGGACTGGAGAGCACCGGCTGCACCCTCGTCTTCCTGGTGCTGTACTACTTCGGCATGGCCAGCTCGCTGTGGTGGGTGGTCCTGACGCTCACCTGGTTCCTGGCAGCTGGCAAGAAGTGGGGACACGAGGCCATTGAGGCCCACAGCAGCTACTTCCACCTGGCGGCCTGGGCCATCCCCGCGGTGAAGACCATCCTGATCCTGGTGATGCGCAGGGTGGCGGGGGACGAGCTCACGGGGGTGTGCTACGTGGGCAGCATGGATGTCAACGCCCTCACGGGCTTTGTGCTGGTCCCCCTGGCTTGCTACCTCATCATCGGCACTTCCTTCATCCTCTCGGGCTTCGTGGCTTTGTTCCACATCCGGAGGGTGATGAAGACAGGCGGGGAGAACACAGACAAGCTGGAGAAGCTCATGGTGCGCATCGGCGTCTTCTCTGTGCTCTACACCGTGCCGGCCACCTGTGTGATCGCCTGTTACTTATACGAGCGCCTCAACATGGACTACTGGAAGATGCTGGCCTCGCAGCACAAGTGCAGGGTCAACAACCAGACCAAGGCGCTGGACTGCCTGATGGCCGCCTCCATCCCAGCGGTAGAGATCTTCATGGTGAAGGTCTCCATGCTGCTGGTGGTGGGCATCACCAGTGGTGTGTGGATCTGGACTTCCAAGACCCTGCAGTCTTGGCAGCAGGTCTGCAGCCGCAGGTTAAAGAAGAAAAGCCGCCGGAAACCCGCCAGCGTCATTGCCAGTGCTGGGATTTACAAAAAAGCGCAGCACCCCCAGAAACCTCATCTTGGGAAATACGAGATCCAGGCCCAGCCTCCTGCCTGTGTGTGAAGGGCTGGGAGGGAAGGACCTGGCGGGCAGGCGGGCAGGCAGGCAGGGCCCAAACAGAGTGCAGTTCCTGGCTTTGGCTGGTTGGTTTTTTAAATAAAAGGGTTTTTTTTTTTTTTTAATGCAAATAAATGGAAAGTTTTTACCCCGAAATTCAGAATACCATGAAAGTAAGAATGTACTTCAAGGGTTTTGTTTTGTGCTGTTCCTCAGTGAAGGGCCGCTCTGCAGTTCAGTAGTCTCCGGTGTAACTAATTGGTGGTAAAGTCATTGATTCAGCCCTCAGAGAACTTTTGTTCAGACCCTTCCACAAATGCGCATCTGTGTGCTGGAGTTGGCTTTGCGACCCACTTATAAATGAGAGGCCAGACCACTATTTTCGCAGATTAAAGAGCCCCCCTTGGGGTGGCAAAAGAAGCCATCCAGGGGGCCTACCCCCAGCAAGGTCGGAGGTCGCTGTGTGGGACACAAGACCTGTGCAGAGAGGAAGGACCCTGACCAGTCTTTATCCTTGGGTGGCTTTGGAGTCCCTTAAAATAGACTCCAGTCTCCAGCTTCATGGAAGGTCTTTTTCCAAGACCGAAACCTCCCGGAAACCTACCCGAAACCTAATCTAACCGTGTGGAACCAAAGATGTGCAATAAGTTTGTTTCTCTCTCCATGAAAATAAAAAGAAAAACAAGTATTTTGCTCTGTTCATAAAGACAACAAAAGAAATCTCCTAACAAAAGAACTGAGGGGCCGGCCCTGGAAACGCTTGAGCATTACATTCTGTGGCTTTTTAATGGAAACCAAGCCAATGTTATACACATTTGGGCTAATTTGTGGAAAGGAGGGGGGAGGAGGAGAAAGATCATTCAAAAGTACCCAAAGGGCTTATTGACTCTTTCTATTGTTAAACAAATGATTCCCATGAATAGATCAAGCAGCACTGGGCAGCAAAGACAAACTTTGTCTAGTGCTTTCTCTTTACCCAGCTAGGAAAGGGGGGTTCCTGCCGGTGTATATCTGTAATATATGAGATTTTTCATGCTCCACTATTTTATTAAAAATAAAAGACGTTCTTTAGTTTGCTGCTAGTAGTCCCTGTGCCTGGTGAGCTTTGCCTTCTCTGTGGGGAGAGAACAGAAGACTCTCCCTCTGCTTCTTAGGCAAATTCTGGGTGTGCACTGAGAGCTGGAGAGTTCTGGTTATCTCCGGGGTTGACAGAATCACTCAGGCCTGAGTTGCAGAAGCTTTTCATGCAGGCAGGTTGGTTGCTGTGGAGCCTGGTAGCTGGACCTGGGGGCTTCATTGTGACACAGGTTCTCAAGGACAGCCTTGGCTGCCAAGCTCTGATGTGCCCATGAGCCTAGACTGGCCTCCCACGGGATCTTTGCCACCAATTCAGAGGATGAAGTCAATGCTGTTCAATTGATCTGCTGTGTACCTCAGTCTGAAGCGGGCCACCTCACAGCAGCAGCTCTGGGCTGTGGGGACAGGGTGGCCTGCCAGGGGGGAGTTGTGGGGCAGCTTGAGCCCTTCCCGGTGGCCAGTTCTTACAGTATTCACCTGGGTGGCTGAAGAGCGGCCACAGGCCTGGGTTCTGCTGGGCAGGGCATGGCTGGACCCAAGTTCTCACCAGAAGGACCCAAGGGCACAGTCCAGCCCCAGTGTGGTAGATGAGCCACAGAATAGCCTGAGCTGTCCACGGCTCATGTCTTGCTCAGATCTTGGACTTGGGCAGCGGCTCCTAAGATCTTTGAGCCCTAACTAAGCATGTCAAAGCTGGGCAGAAGCTGACGCCGGCCTTGGCCAAGTCCTCAAGTGTGTTCAGGAATCAAGCTGGTGACAGAGACCACCTGTCTCCCATCAGTGAGGCCAGGGTGGAGGGAAGGCCCAGACAGGGTGGGGGCTGCTCAGGAGGATGCAGGAGCAGGTGATGTGGGTGGCTTGGGGTCCAGTTCCAGAAACTGGAATGCCTACCAGGTAGGCACAGCGAATGCCTACAAAACCCAGAGTGGCTTTTAGGGCATTGAGAGTGAAAACAGGTTTTAAAAACGTCCATGAGTAAAAACCTGTTGATTGTTCCCAACCTGACCCCCAAAACATTACTTCCCATGCATGAATGTTTCTGCGAGTGCATGCAAATAATTTTCCTTTTTAGTGGCTCTCAGGGGAAAGTAACGCGTAGGCTGCAGGACTTTCACCACGTCCAGAAAGATAACCTATCAAGGTGCTGCTGGGTGCCCGCAGGCGAGACAGGACTCCAAAGGCACTGGGTTCTGAAATTACAGGGTCCTCGGTCACTTCAGATCTTCCCACGTTCAGGTGTGCAGGCTTTCAACCCCGTCCCCAGGGAGACCACTGGGCAGCTCTGGGAAGACCTTGATGGTTCAGCCCCAGGTGCCTGTAGGGCGGCTCCACCCCGGAAAGAAGGTGGTCTTGTTTACAGATGTCAGAGGACACTAACCTGGGGCTGATCTAAGCGGGGACAGAGAAGTGGGCAGCGGACAGCAGAAACACTTCAAAGCCCTGCTTCCAGCTCTCTCCCCCTCCTCTGGGCTGAGCTGAGCTGAAATCTGACCCTAGATCACACCAGACCCTGCATTTGAAGAGAAGCCTCACCAGCATCTGGAGGCTTGAAAGTTAGAAAACCAAAAACAACAACACACACACTCTGTCCTCAGACTGAACTCAGCCTTTGGAGACTTCCCAAAGGGACACAACTGCTGTTTGGGGTGGCAGATGTCAGTGGTGATATCAGAAACAGCCCAGAGGAGGTGATCACCCGAGGTCACAATCTGCAGCACTCATGCCTTCTCGTCACCTGGCATGCTGCCACCACCTTGACCGTGCCAGGGCTGGGAACAGTGGCCCCAAGGACTGGCAGCCTGGTAAAGGACCCAAACAGCACACCCTCTGTTGACCTCTGTGTCAGGGAAGGTGTCCCAAAGAGGAAGCATTTCCACTGTGGCTGGGAATGAGGTGAGCACGGCACGACTCAGCCTGGGTGCCCTTGTGGCACCTCGTGGCGAGGCCAGGCTGCAGGCCTTACGAGCTACAGCAGGGCTATGGCAGGAATCTGGCCACCACGGTGGATGGGGCCTGGCTCCTGAGCCCCACACCTAGTAGAGCAGGTTGCTTGTACTAGGGGTGTAGTCACAGTGAAAGCAGCAGGGATCACAGAGCAGCCGCAGCACAGCTCTATGCCCACGCTCTCCTGTCAGCTCTCTGTACATGCAAAGACCTAGATGCACAGAGAGGTTAAGTAAATCCCCAGGGTCACACAGCAAGTCAAAGTGAGAGCCAGGATGGCCGCCGCCGAGACCCTCTGGCTGTAGATCCAGAACCACTGGTTCATCAAGTGATTTCCAAGAAACGATCAGCAAATGTGCTGCTCACTCCATCCTCTGGCCAAGGCTGGTGGTGCTCCTCTACCCTCTTGGTAGAGGTGGGGAGTTTGGAGCACATGAAGTGCAGCCTCTTTGCCCAAGGTCACAGGGCAGCAGACAGGGAGCCAGGATGTCCACCCTGGCCTGGCAGTGCTGAACCTTGCCTCTGACCTCCCAGTTCTCCCGGCTCTGCTGGAGCCTGATGTGGATCAGGTCATTTCATTTTGTAGCAGCACTGCCCTTGCTCCTCAAGGTCATGTGGCCAGGGACAGAGGCCACACAGCCAGGGCTAGAAGGGGCTGTGCTGCTCTCTCCCCAGGAGGGCAGCAGGCAGATGAGCAGGCTGAGGGGGCCTGGCCTAGAGAGGAGCAGGTGGGGAGGCCAGGCAGAGGCCAGTGCATGGCTCTGGAGGGCTCTGGAGCCAGATCCCTCCAAGTGGAGAGAGCTGGCCTGCAGGTGGGCCAGGGCATGAGACAAGATCAAGGCTGGAGGAGGGGTCCTCCAGGCACAGGTGCCAGGAAAGCAGACCCTGACCACCTGGGCTCCTGCCTCACTTGTGCATCAGGAGCATAGAGGAAGATGGTGTCCAGGTCTCCTCTGAAGTCGAAAGACCTGACCCAGATGGACCCACGGGAGGCAACCTGGTGTCGTGGAGGGAGGGAGGAGGACTCTCCCTTCTGCCCTCCACACCCCGACATCTGTAGCCCTGCCCTGGGTGGCTGAGCCAAGCTGAGGCCAGCTCCCAGGCTGCTGGAGGGGCCTGGACCAGCACCCTGCAGAGGTGGCTCCCAAACAAGAAAAAGAGGAAGATGTGGTGCCAACAATATGCTGTGCTTTCTGGATTATTGTTATTATTACTGTTATTCTGATCAGCAGGCAGGAAAGGACACACAGACAGAGTCACAGACTGGGTCCCAGCTGCCATCGCACACGTAAAGGGTACTGGGAAGGAATGTAGGTCAGGCCTGAAGGACCGACTGTCTCACCTGCCCGAGACTCGGGGCAGGGTGGATCTGGGGCTGCGGGTCTTCTGGTGGGCAAGCCCTGGCACGCTCCAGCCGGGCTATGAAGGGGGCGTGGCCGTGCCGCTGCCTGCTGGGCTGGCACTGGGGACGATTACTGCACGCCCAGTTGTCCTTAGTGCCCTGTACCCGTCACCCCAGCCCCCACGCAGCCCTCGGGGTGTGACACTGAGTGACGTCACCTGTGTAAAGCTTGGGGCAGCCTCCTGGTGTAAAGCACATGATCAATATGTTTTAGCTACTCTTCTGTTTATCGTTCCCCCCGCCCTAAGAAAGTCAAGCCCACCACGCTAATGAGGCCCGATCTCTAAAGAGACTGGTTTTTTTTCTGACAGAAACACTTTTTCTGCCGCCGTGTTCAGGTTTCACAGAATGCCCACTGGTCTTTCAAGTCTAAAAGGCAGGCATCGCCTCCACGGCGGGAAACACCCTCCGTCTTTCCCTTTGAACACGATCACATCACAGCCGACTTCCTGGGAAGTCAGACCTCACGTGCCGCCGCCTCTCCACGCAAACGGACAGAGTCGCTGTAATATGGAGATGAGGGGAAGCGGTCAGACTTCAGCAAGCCGGGGACCTGCTCGGGCGACATGGTGCGGGGGGCTTTTTAATGTTTTATTAAGAGTCTGAAGGCCAAGCTGGGGGGAGGAGGGAAGGAGGCGTTTGAAATCGGCGAAGAACAAGT